CTCCCCCCTCACCACCACCCCAGGCCCCAAGAAAACCTTCCACATTAAACCCCACACACCAGGTCTTATCACATGGTCTGCTATTACACACTACCCATTGTCAGCCACAAATAGTCCTCATTAACAACCATTCATTCTCCCAGGCTGGCCATTATCCATTCCTTTTGTCCAACTGTTCTTCTCTCTTTGGGCGCTCTCTCTACTTGTCATTTACTCCTTAACCCCTCTCCCCATTCTTTCTTCTGCATAAAAAACAACTTTTTCCTAGCTACCATCATCTGAAGGGTCACTTGATTTGAAATGTTGACTCTGATTTATCTACACAGATGCTGCTGCATCATTCCTGCGCCTCCGCTGCATCTGCTCCCAAATGGGGTGTTCCACTTCCGAACATCCCAGATGTCCTTGAAAAAGGAGGACCATAACATTCCCCCATCCGGTGATCGAAAATGCACTCAGCCATATCTCTTGCATTTCTGCACTTATGCCCTCACACCCCCTCCCTCCAACAAAAATAAAGACAGAATCCCCCTTGTCCTCCTATCACCCCACCAACCTCTGTATCCAATGTATCATTCTCCGCCACTTCCGCCACCAATAATCCGATCCCACAACCAAAGAGACATTTCCCTCCCCACCCCTATCTATCTTTCATAGGGACTGCTCTCTCCACGACACTCCATTTGCTTCATACTCCCCACTAACCCCACCGCCCCGGCACCTTTTCCCTGCAACCACACGAAGTGCTATACCTGCCCCAACCTCCCCCCTCACCTCCATTCAAGGCACCAAACAAATCTTCCATATCAGAAGGGTTCACCTGCGCATCTGTCACCTTGGTCTACTGTATCCGCTGCTCCCGATGTGGCGGCCTCTACGTCGGTGAGACTAAATGTAGACCTGGAGACTATTTTTGTAGATCATCTGTGCTCTGTTCTCAACAAACGACAACACCTTCCAGTCGCCAACCATTTTAAACACCCTGTCCCACTCCCTGGATGACCTGTCCATCCTCTGCCTCCTCCAGTGTCACAATGACACCATCTGCAAAGTGGAGGTGCAACACCTCCTATTCCGCCTCGGGAGCCTACAGCCCTATAGCATAAACGTGGATTTCATCAGTTTTAAAATCTCCCCACCTCCAGCCTCATCCTATGTCCAACCCTTACTGTCATCCCCAGCTCCTTGACCTGACACAACCTATCCATCTTCTCTCCCATCTATCCGCCCCACCATCCCACTAACTAATCCCCACCATTTGCTCCCTGCACTAGCCTATCACCATTCCACCTACCTTCCCCAGTCCCTTCCCTCCTCTCTATTTATTTCTGTGCTCCCTTCCCCCTCCCCATTTCTGAAGAAGGGTCCTGACTCAAAACGTCAACTTTCCTGCTCCTTTGATGCTTCCTGGCCTGCTGTGTTCCTCCAGCTCCATACTGTGTTGTCTCTGACTCCAGCATCTGTAGTTCTTGATATCTTTGAGATCTTCCAGCAGTTTATTTTTATTTCAATCTTGTACTCCCTTCAGTCAGCTGTATCATCTGACAGCTGTCCCACAGCTTGAATGTCAGCAGGTTCCGAGTTGAAAACACACACTCCGTACCAATGAGAGTTTGCTGTTTTCTAAAATTGACAGAGTCCATAATCATTTCAGCACTTTTGAAAGAGCTCCAGGGAAAGAACAGATACTGACCTTGCAGTTTGCATTAATCTTGATTGTGACCAGTGCAGGAGCTTATGAACAGGCCTGAGTAAGCTAGGATGACATGTTTGCTGCCAGAATAGAGGTGTTCAGGAAAGTGTCCACCCAGCTGTGTTTGTGTCTTGTTCTAACATAGGAATAGCAAGTTAAATTAACTCTGCCTCTTTATCACTAATTTCATTGTGAAACCAAACCCTCCAAACTGCCCAATTTGTTCCTAACCACACTTTATGAATAACAGATCTTGGGCACCAAGTTTATAACCAAAACAAACCTTATTCAGAGTGAATTGTTAATATAACTTTAGCAGAACACAAAAAAAGTAATCTAATTAATATCTATGATTAAAAGCCCAGTCTTCTTTGATCATAATTTAGACTTTCTCACATGCAGTTAAAAGATAAATTAAAAAAGAAAATGAAGGAATTGTAATTTGCCAGTTCAATAAACAATTTCTAAAGATTAATACCAGGCCTTAATGAAATCCTTGGACAATGGTTGTTCACAGGCAAGTAGAACGGTATACCTTGCTTGAAATCCAAAGTCATTGTTAATGCAAACCGTTTCAGCAGACTTCTAGAAATATTTACTTATTTATTACAAACTGGGAATCTTTTCTCAATCTTCAGCAATTTGAAAACTGGAGAGAAGCTAAAGAGAGAAAGCAAAACCAAACAGCACAGTGTCCAGAAGTCTTAAAATCATACTGCCTCCTCCGAAAACCCAGTTAGAACTTGTTCTCTCTTGATTGACCAATTCAATATCTGCTAGCTGCCAACCCTAAGCATAGCAACAGCTCTGTGCTGTTTTGTCCACATTGTCCTTAGATCAGTAATTGAGTTGCATTATCTTTGCAGACCAACTTCCAACAGAGAATATTTGTCTTTTGTTCTAAAACAAACAGTTGTTCAAAGTTCAATTCTTAACTTCAGTCTACAATCTAAAGGAGGATGTCCATTTGAATAGGGAATACAATATGTTAAATTGGAAGAAGTCTCTGTCTCATATGGAAAATTTGTTGGGGAGAGCTGAATTATGGTAATAGAAAGAATGAATATTGTACCAAGAAGGACAGTTAGATGTTTGTTTGATGCAATTGTTTCACATCGGATAAACAATGAGACAGCAGGCTATACTGGACCTGGTTTTGAACAACGAGATAGTATTAGTTACTGACCTCATTGTGAATGTGCCCTTAGGTAGCAGCAACCAGAATATGATGGAATTTCTCATGCAGTTTAACGGAGAGAAGTGTGGGTCCATAACTATTATTTCGAATTTAAACGAGGGCAGTCATGAGTACATGAAAGCAGAGCTTGCCCAAATGAACTGGTAATTTGGGTTAAGGGATAGAGCAATAGAGATGTGGTGGCAAACGTTTAAGGGGAAAACTGAGTGTAAGAGAAAGTTGACCAAAAATATGAAAACAGATATTAAAAAAAATCCAAAGAAATTTTTCCTAAGTGTTAATAAAGTAAGTGTTAATCCTTTTGAAAATGTGTCAAGGAAATTAGTAAAAGAATAAAGCGATGGTAGATGAATTCAACAGAAATATTGTCTGTCTTCACTACAAGATTTAAGTAATATCTCAAATAGCTGTAAATCAGGAACTGAAACTGGGGTGGATGGTTGGGGGGAGAGAAGGGGGGGATGGGTGTTCTCAAGAAAATTACAAGCACAAGGGAAATAGTACTGTGTAAATTGTTGGAACTGTGAGTTGATAAGTCCCCAGGTTCTGATGGGTTTCATCCTAGGACTTTCAAAGAAGTAGCTAGTGACAGTTGATGCATTGGCTTTAATTTTCCAAAACTCAGCACAGAATCAGACCCTTCAGTCCAAACAGTCCATGTCAATCATAATCCCAAACTCAACTCGTCCCACCTGCCTGCACTTGGCCCACATCCTTCCAAACATTTCTTATTCATGTATTTATCCAAATGTGTTTTAAATATTGTAGCTGTGCCCACATCTACCACTTCCTCTGGAAGTTCATTCCACACACAAACCATTCTCTTTGTTTTAAAAAAAAAAAAAATTCTCCCTCATGTCTTTTTTAAATTTAGATTTGTGGAAGATTCCTTTAGATTGGAAAAAGCTAATATAGCTCCTTTATTCAAAAAGGGAAAAAGGCAGAAAGCAGGAAACTACAGGCCAGTTAGCTTAAGATCTATCATCAGAACTGCACACGGTACTCTAACTGTGGCCTAATTAACATTTTATACAATTCCAGCATATTGTATTGTACTTAGATTTTCTGAAGGCATTTGATAAGGTGCCATATCAAAGATTATTGTAGTAAATAAAGGCTCATGGTGTAGATGCTAATGTATGAGCACTGATAGAAGATTGGCTGGTTAACAGGAAGCAGAGAGTAAGAACACCTGGATATTTTTCAGGCTGGCAGGATGTGATAGGTGATGTGCCACAGAGGTGGGTGCTGGGGTCTTAACTCTTTTTAACTTCTGTTAATTATTTGGGTGAAGGGACTGAATGCTTAGTAGCTAAATTTGTTGTTTGAGAAAAAGGTAGGAAAGTGAGTTGTGAAGAGGATATAGATAAGCTGTGAGTGGGAAAGATCTGGCAACTGGAGTACAATATGGGAAAGTGTGAAATTGTCCATTTTAACATAGTATCTAAATAGTGACAGGACACATCTCGGAGATACAGAGATCTGTGTCCTAGTGCATGGATTGTAAAAGGCTAGAATTCAGGTACAGCAAGTAGTCAGGAAAGCTAATAGAATGTTATGTTCTATTGCAAGGGGAATTGAATGCAAGAGTAGGGAGGTTATGCTTCGGCTAATCACGGCATTGGTGAGACGGCATCTGGAGTTCTGCGGAAGGGTCACCAGACCTGAAACGTTAACTGATTTTGTTTTCTTTACAGATGCTGTCAGACCTGGTGAGCTTTTCCAGCAACTTCTGTTTTTGTTTCTGGAGTACTGTGTAGTATACTGGTCATCATATTTGGGGAAGGATGTTAATGCATTGGATGCAGTCCTGAGAAGGTTGGAATGAGTGGATTGCCTTATGAGGAAAGGCTAGATTGGCTGCACCTGTATTCTCTAGCGTTTAAGAGTCGGTGACTTAATTGAAACACAAGATCCCGAGGAGACTTGACCAGGTGGATGTTGAAGGAACAGTTCCTCTTCTGAGAGAAAGTAAAACTAGGAGTTACAGTTTAAAAATGAGGGGTGTCCATTTAAGGCAGAGATGAGGAAACATTTTTTTCTTTTGAGGCTGATAGTCTTTTGGAATTCCTTTCTTCAAAAGGCAATGGATGTAGAATCTTTAATTTGTTTTTAACGCAGAGGTAGATATTTTTGAGATTACCTAGTGACTGAAAGCTTATCGTGGATATGCAGGAATGTAGATTGAGGTTTAAATTGGGTCAGCCAAGATCTTGCTGAATGGCAGAGCAAGCTTAAAGGGCCAAGTGGCCTACTCATGTTCTTTGATCATACATTTGTAAATTATGTAACCAACCTTCAAACAATCCAGAATGTGACATTGCAAATGTATCCTTGAAATTCTAGAATATCTATCAGAGGTTAAGTTTTTGCCACACCCTGTTAACTCACTTAACGAACATAACAATCTCATTTCCACACTTATTCTTTTTCACAGGCCTTGCATTCTCATCATGGATTCTTTACGTGGACCAAGTCGTACAAATGTGGTTAAGATCCTGCGAGAGTAAGGGCATTTCTGTAAAGTATTGGATTTTTTAAAAAAATTCTAATAAGGGTTATCCCCACTTAACTTTTTCGTTTGTTGATCTTTGAAACAGATACCTTGAAGTAGAGTGGGAAATGAGAAAAGGAAGCAAAAGAGCTTTCACCAAAGATGTGATAAAGGGCTCCAATCCTCGTGTTCCTCAGCAAGACAACTTTAGTGATTGTGGTATTTATATCTTACAGTATGTCGAAAGTTTTTTTGAGGTTAGTATCAACTTTTATTGTGTGTTAGAATAGAGAGAATCTTTTGTAAAAGAAGAAAGGCTTTGCATGTACATGTATCTGTCATGGTGACCAGTCAGTTTTGCCTTCCATCTTCCTGGCTGAAAGTTTTTTGCATTGCTTTGATAGGAATGCGTGAGATGCCAGCAACCAACTTGGGCAATGAGTATTCAATCTGGGTGTAATCTTGTTCTTATTCATGTGAGAATAGTAACCAACTTAACATATGAATTAGGAGCAGAAATAGGCTATTCTGGCCTTTAAGTTTGCTCCGCCTTTCAATAATGTCACAGCTGATCCCTTTTGTGTTCTGAAATCTACATTCCCATGTGTCTTCAATAAACTTTGATTCCCTTGCCTAATGAGAAATTATCTATCTTCACCTTAACAATATTCAATTACCTAGTTTCAAGGCAGATTTTCAAAGTCTCTCGCCCCTCCCTGATGGAAAGACATTCCCCTCATCTCTATCATACAATTGTAGAATTTTGAAGGAGGCTATTCGACCCACCATGCCTGTTCCGGCTCCTGAAAGAGCTCTCCAACTAGACCCATTCTCCAGTTCTAGCTCTATAGTCCTCAAATTTCATCATGTTCAAATATATATTCAGTTCTCCTTTGAAAATTTGAATGGAATCCACCTCCATTCTTCTAAGCAGTGCAACCCAAATCCTAACAACACTGTGAATAATCAAGTTTCTCCTCGTCTCACTCCTAGCTCTCTCACTGACAATCTTGAAATTGTGACCCCTAATTACTTTCCTGAAAGGGGACCTCTAATTTTAGAAATGTGCTGGAGTTACAGATTACCCTTTCCAGAATTACTTTAAGACTGTTCAGGATTGTATGACACAAATGAAATCAGGCCTCACTCCTCTTCTAAATTCCAATGAGAACAAGCCAAGCCTGTTCAGTCTTTCCTTTAAATAAAACCCCTCATTCCAGATATCGATCTAGTAAGTCACCTCTGAACCACATTCAATGCATTTATGTCCTTACTTAAAGGAGGAAGTGCAAACTGCACACAGTATTTGAGATGTGATCTCACCAGTGTTCTATATAAATGAAATATACTTTCCTATCCATCTTTGTATCATTTGCAAATTTGGCCATCATGTGTTCAGATCCCTTGTCTAAGTCATGAATACATATTGTATGAAGTTGAGGGCCCAGCATAGACCCTTGCAAAGCCTCACTCATCACATCCTGCCAATCATAAAAAGACTCATTTCCACACAGTTTGATTTCTGCAAACCAGCCAATCATCTAGCTATAGTAATATGTTACACCCTATACCATGAGCTTCTACTTTGCACAATAACCTTTTATGTGGAACCTTATCAAATACCTTCTGGAAATTCAAATACAGCATGTTAATGGTCTCTCACTTATCAACAGCACATGTTACTCCTTCCAATAAATTGATTAAACATTTCACTTTCACAAAACCATGCCGTATCTTCCTGATTATCTTGAGTTTTCCCAAGTAACCAGTTATAGTCTCGTTAATCATCAATTCTAACACCTACAACAGATATCAAGCTAATTGGCCTATAGTTTCCTGTTTTCTCCCCCTCTCCCTTCTTGCTACTCGCCAGTCTAACAGAACCTTTCCAGAATCTAATGAATTCTGGAAAATTAACACCAACGTATCTGCTATCTCATTAGCCGTTAAAGCCATAGAATGAGGTCAGTCAGGACCGACAGACACATCAACCCGCAACGCCATTAATTTGCTCAGTACTACTTGCCTTGTGATTATAATTTCACCAAGTTTCTCTCGCTTCAGCCTCCTGATTTACAGGTATTACTGAGATGAGAGAAGTAAAATATTTATTTACCACAGCCACCATTTCTTTATTTACTATTAATTCTCCATTCTCACCCTCTAGAGGACCAGCACTTACTTCACTTACTCTTTATATCTTTGATATATGTAGAAACTCTTGCTATCTATTTTTAGATTTCTAGCTAGCCTTTTCTCAAGCTTTATTTGTCCTGACTAACCTCTTGTCATCCTTTGGTGTTTTTTGTGTCCTAACCAGTCATCTGACCTACCAGTCACCTTTTGTGCAATTATATCCAAGTTGAGTGAGTGGGCAAATGAATGGCAGATCAAGTATAATTTGGATGAATGTGAGGTTATTCACCTTTTGGTAGCAAAAACAGGAAGATGGTGATTATCTGAATTGCAGTAGATTGGGGAAAGTGGGAGGTGCACCAAAAACCTGGATGTCCTTGTACACCACTTGCTGAAAGTAAGCATACAGATGTAGCAGATGGTGAAGAAGGCAAGTGGCATGTTGGCCTTCATAATGAGGATTTGACTACAGGAGCAGCAATATCTTGCTACAGTTCTGCTGGGCCTTTGGGAGAAAACACCCAGAGTTTTGTGTGCAATATTGGCCTCGTTATCTGTGGAAGATTGTTCTGACTATGGAGGGAGTACAACAAAGGTTTACTAGACTGATTCCTGGGATGGCAGGACTTATGTATGAAAAGTATCTGGATCAGTTAAGACTGCATTCATTAGAGTTTTGAAAAACGTGGGAGATCTCACAGAAACCCATAAAATTTTAACATGATTAGATGGGGTAAACGTAGGAAACGTGTTCCTGATAACTAGGGAGTCCAGAAGCAAGGGTTACAGTCTATGGATATGCCATTTAGGCCTGAGATGAGGAGGAATTTCTTCATCCAGAGTCATGAGATTGTGGAATTCTCTGCTACGGAGAGTGGTTGAGGCCAAATCATTGAATGTTTTCAAAATGGATCAGATAGAGTTCTTGGGGCTAAAGGGCTCAAAGAGTACTGGGAGAAAGCAGGGACAGGGTACTAAGTTGGCTGATCAACCGTGATTGTATTAAATGGTGCAATGGCCTACTCCAGCTTCTATTTTCAATGTTATCAAGAGGCACAGCCAATGTTGCCTGGATAGTAGCTATAAAAGTACTGTGCAGCATAAATATTTTCTGTTCCTTCTCCAGTATGCTACACTGTTGAGTTAATATCAGCTCAATTCATCCACAGAATCCAATTCCAAGTTTTGAACTGCCTATGAATTTGATGGAATGGTTTCCTCAGCAACAAGTTAAACAGAAACGAGAAGAAATCCGAAATGTCATTCTCAAACTCTGTGAGACACAAAGCAAAGGGAAGAAAGGACAGGAATACAGAGCAACAGAGGCACCTTCATGAGCAATGCCTGGCCAAGACAGACTCTGACAGAAGATGCCATTTTCAATTACTGGATGTTGTTGCACTAACACAGAAATGACTTGGATTTGTTCAAGTGTTGGCTTCCACAGAAGGATGAATTTTTTGTGTGCGTTTGATCTTATAGAACATTTTGATGCACACATCTTCATTTTACAGGCACCCAAATGAATGTTAATGTGCTGTTATAAATATGACAAACTGTATATATGTTCATAAACTGAATTTACTGCATTTGTGATCAATTTCACTGTTTGGGTTAGTAAGCATTTTCGTATGTACTTTTGTTAAAGGTAGTTGGATAGCTACTTATAAGTATGATTAAAAGTTATTGTAGTATTAAACGGACTGGGCAAATCTATTTTTTTGGCCGAGTTTCTCTTTACATTTTCTCCACCTGCCCTACTCACATGAATGAATTCACTCCTTGCTTGAATATGGTTCTAAGGTGTTCTTCAGTACATAGTCAAAGTTGCCTTTGAGCGTGGCCCTTAACACTATATTGGCAGCCTTACTCTTCTGTGGAGCCTCCAGTCCTGTTCTTGGCAGATGTCCGTCCATGCATACTTCCAACATAGGTTACTGAGGAACAAGGATCTGAGCTTATTACTCATCTTTAACCCTAGGATAATAAGGCTAATTTGTAGCCTAGCTTGAGATCAGCTAGTTTGAATACTGGATAAATAATTTTGCTGAACTGCAGGCACAATGAATAAATTTGAGCCAGTTTTTAAATGGGAATGCATGTTGTATATCAGCAGCCGTCTGTGAGAGCACTAAACATGGTTGCACGTTGTGTTCTTCCAATTGCTGAACTGTATCCAACCAGGAAATTCTTGGGTTTTAGAATCGAGGCTCCAGTGTAAATGAAGCCTACTTAAATAGGTACTTGATTGTATTCCACCTGGAACCAGGTGTTTTCCAGAAAGGCTGGGGGAAGAGAAATTTGATACGAGGGATAAGATACATATATAAAGCAAGCAAGTGCCTTCAAAAAATTGTCTTGGGTAACTGGTATACATTTATATGTCCCGGCATGTACTGATTATTAATTTGCAATCAAGTCAGATTATACTTTGTTTTACCCGATTTAAGAGTTGGGTGATGAAAGACTGGTGAACTCCAAAGTAAAATGCTCCATGGAATTGATTTGTAATCAAACCATATCCACTAAGACTATCACTGAAATTGAGTCTGGATGTCTTCAAAACCATTACTCTTTTCCCCTTACCTCAAACTGTCTACTGTCAGTTTTTGCTGTTCAGTTGTATTAAAACTGTATTCAGGTTTATTTAATCTAAATCACATTTGGAACTTGACTGAAAATGTTGCGGATTTATTCCTCCTCTGCAACAATACCTCAGCATATTTATGTACATCTGTATATCTGTAATTGCCATAAAAATAATTTTGTGCTGATTTTCTGTAACTCTGGTTTTAAACTGTAATCTGTGTACTAATTTATGGGGCATGCCTATGCTTTGATTGTATGTATTTCATTTTTCTGCTGCTACAACCAGAGATGCCTCTCAAATACACTATTGAAGCTGCAAGTGTGATACTAGAGTGAGGGAATGGTTTAAGCATTGAGCTATTTGCACCATGATAGCAATCCTGTTAGATGCTACTTCACATGTTTTGATGTTAGCAATCCTTTAGTTTGATCTTATGAATTTCCTTTTGCGATTCCTCCCTTTTTTTTCTAAAAAAAAAAGTTGAAACAAAATTGAAAAATCATTTCTGAAAAGGTAATCCAATGAATGCTATACGCAAGTTGTGTTACATCATGGTTGGCCTCAGTTTGGAAATGTTAGTCTGCTAATTTTTGATGTCTGCAGTCACAAATTGTAAGGCAGGAGAAACAGTAAGTTGAAGTTGTCCTTATTTCTACCCATCAACATCTGTTTGAAGTGAGTGTTGAGTCAAGTCCTGTATCATGCCCCCATCATTTAATAGTCTCGTGACAGTCATGGTCCAGACTCTAAAGAATGGATGCTTTGGGTAGCTAATTAGAGAGTTCAAACCAACTATTCCTGTTTGTTATAGTATAATTCACCATCTATGGGAGAGGAGGGAGGAAATTGGAGGACTCTATACCTTGTTAGATTAATCACTTAGGGCAAGCTGCAACATAATTACATAATGCTGCAGTGATATTTACATGTTTTCCCTTCAGTAAAATTAGTCAACCAACTACATGGGAACAAATAATATTTTTCCTATTGTGGATTAAAATGTTTGTTAATAGTCCAGTGAGTGGCTTCTCTTTGTTCCAATAAGCTAACGTTTCTGTCTATGCTTTTGGTTTTGTACTGCCTGCTAACTTTCCTCTTCCATTGCACATCTTTGAGAAATGCCAGTTTCTTCTTCTGTTGTAAAATGATTACTCTCACATTATTCTGGCAGTTAGGATTGGCAATGGTTTACCCAATCAGGGATAGAATTTGAAATTGTGCCATAGGTACAGCAGGTATATAATTATTGAAACATCTTTGAAATTCTCACCATTATCAGGTTTTAAGGATGGAACACCAATGGTTGCATTTGGGCCAAATATTCTCTTTGGTTCTAGCTTACTTGCTGGTTTTCCTTAATTCTGGTAGCATTTGCCCTTTTACCCAATTGACAAACTTATGTAGGTGCATAACTATAAGCCTCAGGAACTATAGAGCCAGAGCTGAAAAGTTGACTCTGCTGGTGAACTTTTGGATTGGATCAATGTCAAGCAGTGCGTATCTAGTTGGCCATCAATGCACGGTGTTCCAGGTAATAACAATGTGTAGATTGTTTTCTAAACCTGCATAATTAAACAATGACTTTTGGTATCAGAAATGTTCAATTGCCTGCTGTCTTTTTGAGCTTCAAATTTAGAATTCTGCATTGGTGGTTGGCTTTCATTTTGTGAATTCAAAGGAGTATGGACTTGTAAGGTTAAAAAGTGATTATATCACTGAATTTATTCTGTCTTGTCACACTGAGCATAGGGGTACCAATCCACCAGGATTGGACTAAAATCTCCAGGAATTGAAGATCAGTCTTTTGAGCACTGCCTGATGCAAAATCTTTGGGACATGAAAATAAGATTGGGTTTTTGTTATTTTCTGAGTATTTCTCTTTATCAGATATAAAGACTATTTGGCTAACAGTCTTCATATCCTCCAATTGGTGAATTGCTTTTGTTTTTTGCTTTCCACTTGGATTAGGAAGGCTGTATGTCAAAAGTATGGATAAGTTGACTGACTGGAGCGAGAGGCAAGATGTATGATGAAACCTCACTGCTGGCTGCCTCAACTGAGCAGGGACAAAATCTTTCAAGTAGGGCTGAAAGTCAATCAAGTAGATATACTCACTAGGCTCAATAGCTCTAATGAGGTTACTGGATAGCACCCATAACAGGTGCTAGTTGGGACAATTTACATTGTTAGTTGACAAATGATTCTTGATCTCCTTTTGCAGGTTGGTCCTGGATGTATGAGACTACTTTCTTGAGCTGCCTTTTCCTAGTTGTAACTCAAATAAGTTTACTTTGTTTTGTGGAAAATCTTTGAATAATGTAAACAAGATTATCTGCTTTATCGTTCAGCTGGAAGCATTCTTCATATCTTTCAACTGTTACCATCAACCTATATAATTGTCCAAAAATAATTTTGCACCACAATGTTATTTCCTTTTGCAAATTCTGGAGAGAAGTACTATGTAATTTCCTGGGAGAAGTGAAAAGGGCAGGGAGGGAAAGAATATAAGAAATTCTTTTGTGGTACTCTTTTTGGCAATCAAACTAGTTTAAGAAATCAAAACTAAAAGAACTGCGGATGCTGTAAATTGGGAACAAAAACAGGAGTCACTGGAAAAGCTCAGCACATCTGGTAGCATCTGTGAAGGAAGAAATAGTTAACGTTTCACGTCTGGTGCCCCTTCCTCAGAACTCAGTTTAAGAAATCACTTGGGTTATTCTAATTCAACTCTATGCACTCAGTACTATTATCTTTGTCTCCTATAGAGGCCGGTTTGTAACTTATCCAAATCACTGTAGTGGCGCTTCCATCAGCAGTCTTTATTTAAACTAGAGTATATGTTGAATAGATCATAATTTCAACTCTCTTTACTGAAACACACCACCATCACAAGAATAAAACATCATCAGTTGTCGTGTCAGCCCTGCATAGTCCTCTTTATTTATGGCTGATTTGGCTGCCTAATTTGGGAGAGCTGTCCTGTGGACTAGTAAAGCAACAACTTGATAAAACGATACTCTTGTCATTATCTTAGACAATTTCCCAAACATGATTGTCAACATCATCTAGTATATCCTATTTCACCAACTTGGCAACACCACTAGTGACAGAGCTAGTACAGTCCTAAAAGACATTTATTGCAGACCTAGACTAGCACCATTAGTGATGGAATGAGCAAGAAGGAAAAAGCTGCTTGATCCTGTCATCACCAATCTATCTGTCACAGGTATGTCTCTTCATGACCACAATGGTTGGAGTGAGTGCTCCACAGTCCTTGCAGAAATCAAGTCCCATCTTCACATTTAGGACAACTCTCCTTACTTTGTTTAGTACAGCCACTGTGTTAAAGTGATAGATTGTGAACATCTCTAGCAATCCAAAAATGGCTGAGAGAGAATTATATTGAACTACAATCTGTAATCTCAAAGCCTGGCATTTCCCCCACTCTACCATTACCATTACCATTACCATCAGACCAGGAGACTAACCTTGAATCGACGTAGAGTACAGGAGAAGCATTAGACATTCCTTAAAAATAAGATGTTAATCTGGTGAAACCACAACAAAGATAAGTGCAAAACAATGGAAGCAACAGGAGATAGAGCCAAACCCTCAACCAAACGATCAGATCCAAGTTGTGCAGCCCTGCCACATCAAGTCACAAATGGTGGTGGACAACTACCAGGAGGAGATAGATCCATAAACATCCCCAATTTCAACAATGGGAAGTCCAGCCCATGTGTGCTGATGGACTGGTGCATTTGCATAGATGGTCAGCCTGCAGTGCTAAGTAAATTGATCTATCTTGGCCTCTTCTTGAGGACCCAGTATCACAAATGCCAATCTTCCAATTGAGTTCACTTCAATGATACCAAGAAATGATCGAAGGCACTTGGTGGCAAAGATTATGGGCCCTGATATCTGGTGAATATTTATGTCCCAGAACTAGCCATGTCCCTGACTAAGCAGTTTCTGTATTGCTACAACACTGACACCTATGCCCTCTCTGGAAAAATGTAGCACAAAATCAATCTGGGAGGGGTCATCAACTTTGCTTTCAAGCAGCATTTGCTCAACAATAATCTACTCGCTGATGCTCAGTTTGGGTTTTGCCAGGGCCACTGAGCTCCTGGTCCCATTATAGCTTTAGTCCAAATGAACAGAAGAGTGGAGTCCCGAGGGAAGGTAAGAATGACCACTCGACATCAAGGAGTTCTAGCAAAACTGGAGTCAGTTGAGTTCAGGGTGGGAGAGAATGTCTCCTCTGTTTATAGTCCTACCCAGCACAAAGGAAGGTTGTAGTTGTTGGACGTCAATTATCTCATCTGAAGGACATCTCTGCAAGAGGTGTTGAGGCTAAAAAGTGAGTCTAGAAGGGAGGGCTTCAGATATCTGGATCATTGGGATCTCTTCTGTGGCAAGACAGACTTGTACGAAAAGGATGAGTTGCACCCAAACTTTAAGATGGTTTAAACTAATATGGTGGGGGGAGGGAGGGAGTTACCAGAACAGTTAGTCAGCATATGGAGTCATTGAGGAGAATGTAGAGGTTAAGTCAAGTAAGTTTAATAGGAAGAACAGGCATTACACAGTAGGAATGGCAGTCTGAAGTGTTATTTTAATGCAAAGAGTGCAACAGGCAAGGCAAATGAGCTTAGAGCCTGAATTTGTGCATAGAACTATGATGTAGCCATTACAGAGACTTGGTTGAGAGAAGGACAAGACTGACAACTCAACATACCAGAGTTTAGATGTTTCAGATGTTTTCAGGAGTGGCATTACTGATTAAGGAGAATTTCATAGCTGTACTAAGAGAGGACAGCTTGGAGGGCTTATCCCATGAGGTAATTTAGGTAGAATTCAGGAATAAGAAAGGTGCATGGGGTTTTATTGAATGTACACTACATTATGATGGGTTTTAATATAAGCCTCCCACTAGCTAGAGGAGATGGAGGAATAGATTTGTAGGCAGATGGTGTTTTAATTAATACAGGGTTGTAGAAATTTTAATTTCCCTAATACTGACTGGGACTTTGTTAGTGATAGAGGCTTAGATGGGGCAGAATTTGTAGGTGCATCGGGGTGGGGGGGGAAGGTTCTTAAAAATAATATTTGCATAGTCCAACTAGGAAAGGGGCCATACTGGACCTTATATTTGAGGAATGAGCCTGGCCAGATGATTAAAGCTTCAATGGGGGAGCATTTTGTGAACAGTGATCATAATTCTGTAAATTTTAAAATAGTTATGGATAAGGATAAAACTGGTCCTGGGGTGAACACGCTAAATTGGGGGAGGGGGGAGAAGGCTAATTATAACAGGATTAGGTAGTATTAGGCCACCCTTTTTTTTTAAACCACTCTTGGTCCCATTATGAGATCAATTGCTTTTAGCACAGTCACTCGTCTACTCCTAGGCCAATTATTACATTTTTGATGAAGGGTCTAGGCCCAAAACGTCAGCCTTTCTGCTCCTATGATGCTGCTTGGCCTGCTGTGTTCATCCAGCTCTGCACCTTGTTGTCTCATTACATTATATGGGTTGCTTTCAGTACAGCTCACCTATTCTCTCCTAATCTTAGCTCTTCTTATCTTCTGTCCGGGCCTGCTATCCATAATCTCCTCGTTTACCTATCCCTTTCACATCTGTCTTTGTCTGGGCTCCATCTCCACTATCCATTCACCTCTCCCCTTCAGGATGCCTGCCCCCACTCCTCCGAACTTCACATTCAGCATAAATACCACATTCTCCAAGTTGCTAACAGTTCTGATGAAGAGTCACCGATCTCGAAACATTAACTCTGCTTTCTATCCACAGATATTGCCAGTTTCACCAGCAACTTCTGCTTATGTTTCAGAGCTCCAGCACCCATATTTCTTTTAAATGAAATTGGGAGCAGCTGTTTGAGGGTAAATCCATATCTGACATGTGGGAGTCTTTAAAAGGCCAGGTGATTAGAGTTCAGGACCAGCATGTTCCTATGAACATGCAAGCTAAGGATGGCAAGGTTCAGGAAGGTTCCTGGAAGACGAGATATTGACATTTTAGTCAAAAAAGAAAAGGAAGCTTTTTTTTATTCATGTGTGAGATGTGGGCATTGCTGGCTGGCCAGCATTTTTTATTGCCTGCCCTTGACCTGAGTGGCTTGCTAGATCATTTCATACGGCAGTTGAGGGTCAAACCACTTGTTGTTGGTCTGGAGTTACATATAGGCCAGACCAGGTGAAGATGACAGATTTTCTTCCCTGGGGGACATTAGTCAGCCAGCTGGTTTTCCCTGGCACTTGGCAATGGTTTCATGATCATCGGTGGGTTCTTATTTCCAGATTTTTAAAATTCAAATTACACCATCTGCCATGGCAGGATTCAAACCTGGCTCTCCAGAACATCAGCTGAGTTTCTCAATTAATAGTTTAGCGATAATACCACTAAGGACATCACCTCCCCTATAAAGATTAAGAGAATAAAATCAGATTGGGCCCTTGAGGAATATAAAGGAAACAGAACAGAAATGAAACAAAGAATTAGAAGTGCTAAAGGGGGCCATGGAATGTCCTTGGCAAGTAGGATTAAGGACAATCCCAAGGCAAATGTATACT